GCCTATAGTCCCAGCTACTCGGGAGGCTGGAGGTGGGAGAATCACCTGAGCCTGGGAGGTCGAGGCTGCAGTGAACCAAGATCACACCACTGCACTCCAATCTTGACAACCAGAGTGAGACCCTGTCTCAAAAATAAAAAATAAAGATAAAAAATGTGTTTTAAAAAAGTAGCACCCAGCACCAAAGAGGAAATAATAATGATTTCCCATAGACATAAGGCTAACCGGTGTTTATAATGAAAAGATTACCTCCCTTCAGAGTTCCCCCATTCCCCCAAGCTCAGGTGAGGTTAGTTGTGAGCAGGAGTAGTGGATTTCAAAATAATACGCCTAGATTACTCTAAGAACAAATATTTCTTTTGATTCACTTACAATTTTATACAAAAGCAGAAGTTACCGAAGATTATTTATCCTTCATATTTTTTACCACGATCTTCTTACCCCAACCCCCATGTCTGTGTGTAATTAAAGGAAGCTTGTTAAGTAAGCTACTCATTTTGTGCTTGGAATGAGAGAAAAGAGTGTGTGCTGGGAGTTGGGGGACTGCCTGTGTGAAACATTTCTCTCTTCTGGATTTAAAACTTAGTCTTTGCTGCCAATCTGTTAACAGACAGTTTGTAAATGAAGTAGAAGAAAAAAATATAAATTAGCCTTCTAATAAATGTGAAATTACAAATGTGAAACAAAGCAGGGAATAAATACTTGACCAAAGTATGTAAGTGGGTGTTGGGGAATCACAATTTTTAAATATCTCAATTATTTTGATATGAAAGTTCTATTTCAACGTTCTTCAGAATGATGCCTAATGTTCCTGCATACTGTGTTCCAGATTTATATAAATACAAGATAGAAACTGTGAAGTATATGCCTTCAAAAAAGAAAAAAAAAGACATTTTATCTATATATATTTAATAGCTTTATCAAGAACATATGTAAACCTATATAAATATAGATATACCATCAAGGAAGATTTAGAACATATAACTATGTGGCAGGGGTTGGAAAGAACACAATTCTTTCCCAGAAGGGGAAGGGGGAACTACACTTAATCAGATACCAGCTACAACGTAACTATAAGTCATTTCTAATAAAAAAAAATTTCTACTGCAAATTCTGGTGGGTAAATTTTCCATGTCTTTTGTTCATGTGGATTATCCAGTTCCTTTCTTCGTGGTTTAAGCCTAAGAATAGGAAAAAAAATTATTACATTTTTATATTGGGGCTAACTGAAAAGCCATGCAGTTGGGTGCTCTTGTTAGAGCTTGAAGAAATAAGAAAAGAACCTTACCATGAATAGAACCTCAGCCCCTTTTTTGTGTCTCATTTGGCTCCAGCAACACATCAGTAACTGATTCTTTTTTTTTTCTTTTGAGACCGAGTCTTGCTTTCTTGCCAGGCTGGAGTGCAGTGGCCTGATCTCAGCTCACTGCAACCTCCTACTCCCTGGTTCAAGAGATTCTGCCTCAGCCTCCTGAGTAGCTGGGAGTACAGGCACTGGCCACCACACCCAGCTAATTTTTGTATTTTTTAGCAGAGACAGGATTTCACCATGTTGGCCAGGATGGTCTTGATCTCTTGACCTCATGATCCACCTGCCTCAGCCTCCCAAAGTGCTGGGATTACAGGCGTGAGTCACCATGCCCGGCCGCTGATTCTTTTTTTTTTTTTGAGACGGAGTCTCCCTCTGTCGCCCAGGCTGGAGTGCAGTGCCGTGATCTCGGCTCACTGCAAGCTCTGCCTCCCGGGTTCAGGCCATTCTCCTGCCTCAGCCTCCTGAGTAGCTGGGACTACAGGTGCCCGCTACCACGCCCAGCTAATTTTGTTTTTGCATTTTTACTAGAGACGGGGTCTCACCATGTTAGCCAGGATGGTCTTGATCTCCTGACCTCGTGATCTGCCTGCCTTGGACTCCCAAAGTGCTGGGATTACAGGTGTGAGCCACCGCGCCCAGCCGCCTGGTCTCTGATTCTTTTAACATTGCTTTTTATGGAATTAATGACATTCAGGTTTAATAAAATATCTAAATTTCAGAAATCAGTCAGGCTAGGTATGAATGAAAACCCAGTAATAAAATACTATATCCCTTTAAATTTATGTGTGAGGTTGCAATTTTTTGAATTTTTATGATCAGACCTTGGAGATGACCTTGAGCAGTAGTATATAACTCCCACATGCTTAGCGTTCCAATAATAGAACACTAGGCATAAATTTGTTAACCCATTTACGCCTAATATTCTAAATGATAGAAGTTAGCATTTTTGGCTATAACAATCTCATAACAAAAACAGCTTTGCCAAGTAGTATGTAAATTTAAACGTTACAGAAATCTTTAGAAATTTATATAAAAGTGGGAATAAAAGTGATCTAACTTATTGCTGCTTCAAAATGAAAATGGTGTTTTAAAGGAAAAAAACTATCCTTTAGCAAGAACCACTTTTGAGGAACAGCATCAAATGAAGCTCCACCCAGCTCTCCAGCATCAAACGAAGCTCCACCCAGCTCTCATTATTTGAGGGACTTTGCTCATGTTAGAAGAAAAAGTTTATTGTTTGTATACATTCAAGAAAAAAAAATTGTAAAAAATTTCCATCAAATCCAAAGTTCACTCTATCAAAATCCATTAAACGTATACACATTACAGGTGTGTAGACCACAGGTTTAATTTACCGTTGCCTTGCTGGACTTAAGGAGTTATTAGATCCAGTCCACATCTGAAGAAAAGATTAGGACTGGATGTAACAATAACTATCAACTCATGCCGCATATAATCATAGCCACTTCTTCAACTCTCACCTAAATCATTTAAAAAATATTTTCTCCTTTTGTATTGAAGAGTATGGTTGATTAGAAAAAAATCTCAATTTTTCACCACCACAGAACAAATGCTACTTATAGTGGATAACTTCTAGACTGAAAAATGAGTTTCCAAATATGGCAGAAGGTTTTTTTGGAACAATAATCTCCAAATCCAATTAATAATTTTTCAGAAAGTTTTCCCAATTCAGTTATTAGAAAGCCACATTTAAATGGGAGGTTATTACTTAATGATATTTTTTTAGCTGTAGTCCTTAATACTTATTGTGTCTTATAACTTCTCCTAGATATAAGTGTGTCAGTCAGCTTTTCAGCTAGCTGAAGCCTCCCTAGGTCCTGCCTTACTTTAGCACAAAATTTGGTGGTGGTTTATCATTGGTAAATCAGCACCTACTGAGGACCTGACATATTGAAAGTACTGAGCAGACTCATATTGAACTTCTCTGGGAAGAATTTGCTATCACACTTAAGATCTGGTTATAATATTTTTGAACTCATAACACAGTCCTATGGCATGGACCTTGAGGATACTGCAACAGTGGGTCTCAAGAACAACTAACTGTATTTTTAAAATAACCAAATTAAGAGGAGTAAGGCAATGGTCAATGGTGGCTTGAGGAGTTTTTGCTTTCTATCAAGTTCTTGACAACCAGGAAAAGACTTGCCATTACACCTTATACATAGACATTGAAGATTAGGCTGTTTCTATAGGTTTACATTATATCCATATCTGTTATTTTGTATAAAAGATGTGTTAAACCAGAAGAAAAAAGGACAGTTGTCATAGTATTTAGGAAGATCCTAAAAAGAAAAAAAAATTTTTTTTTCAAAGTAAAACTGATACCAAGAACTAATCATTCCAAAGAAATTAAACTTCATTCCTTTAGATATTTACCAAACAATTATAACCATTAAACACATAGCACTCTGCAGTCTATAACAATAAACTCAAGACACAAAGGAGGAGGCTTAAGAAAATGCTATTGCATTCTCTTGCTGTTTCTTTCAAAATTTTCAATGCTAGATACTTAATATTAAATTAAAATGTAAATGCTGATATTTGAATCTAGTTTAGATAGTGCTAAACAGAATCTACTAAGGACCTATGCCTAAGGACCCAAGTATATTGTAGTGAATTCTTACAATTTTTTTGTTGCCTCAGCATCCCTTTTAAATATAAATTGGACTTTCTGATATCGGAAGCAGGGTTCAGTCACCCTCAGCAGTTTCCAGTTCACCTCCTCCCAGTTTCTCAATGTGACTGATCCTGTTAGCTACCTTATTCAACCTTCTCCTGGGGACTACTTCATTATGGGACAGCTAGATATAACCTACTTGACTCACCCCACAGACCCCCATACTCCACGTGAACCATGTGGATATAACAGCGACCACCTCTCAGTTACAACAGAGACTCATGGCTGCTTGCATTAAACCAAATTGGACCTCCCTGTAGGAAACCTGCTCAGATAGCACCTTACATCCTAATAAAGAATTCCACTCCCAGGCCCCTCCCTCTCTCTCGCTATTGATCCCCATTGAGCACAGGTCTCCTGGATGGCTCTCCCTTCCAGTTAGCCCTGCGAAGTGTGCTGCCCTCTTCTCTCTGGAATAAAAAAACTGCTTCAGTTATTTGATGTGTTTTATTGTGCTGCCTTCTCTGTGTTTCACCCAACGGAGTCACCCAAACTTAACTCTCTTTCCAGTCAGTGCTCCGAGCTACTTGGGAGACTGAAGTGGGAAGACTGCTTGAGTCCAGGAGGTTAAAGCTGCAGTTAGCTATGATCACGCCACTGCACTCCAGCCTGGGTGATAGAGTGAGACCCTGTCTCATTTTTTTTTTTTTTTTTTTTTTTTTTGAGACAGGGTCTCACTCCTGTCTCTTATACACATCTAGATGTGTATAAGAGACAGTTCTTGAACTCATGACCTCATGATTCTCCTGCCTCCGCCTCCCGAGTAGCTGGGATTACAGGCATGCGCCATCATGCCCAGCTGCTTTTGTATTTTTAGTAGAGACAGGGTTTCTCCATGTTGGTCAGGCTGGTCTTGAACCCCCGACCTCATGTGATCCGCCCGCCTCGGCCTCCCAAATTGCTGGGATTACAGGCATGATTACTTTTTTAATTTAAAAAAAGATGCAAAACAAAATGTAATCATTGCTATGCAGTAAAACATAACTTCGGTTTTTTTTTAGCATCTTGGCTTTTTGTGTGTGTATTTTGTATTTTTTGTATTTGATAATTAACATATGTAAATTTAGACAAATTTAGAAAATTTACAATTTAGAAAAAACAAATGAACAAAAATTATTCAAATTACATATATTCTTTTAAAAAAATTTATTATAAATCTGATTTATTGTTTTTCTCCCCCTCCCTCTGTGGGATGACATCTATCATCTCCCTTTTTGGGAATTGTAGTAAAGCAAATCTTAAATAAAATCATTCAAAAGACCAGACAAGAACAATGGCAGAGGCTGTTTCTTGATTACTCACCAAAGAGAAAAACTGCACTTTTACATCATCATGCAGAGGCGGATAGTTGAATACATCAATTATTGCTCTATTTCAGTGTCATGAAATACCTGTGAATGAACACATGGAATTTAGAACTATAAACCTAACTAACGATAACAATGAAGTTTCTTTCCACTTATTATGACTTCCAATATTTATCAAGTACTTTTGGTCTCACAGCCCAATCACAAATGTATACATAATTATTAATCTTTTCTAGTTGTAATACTGTTGTTTGTGTGTGTGTGTGTGTTTGAGATAGAGTCTTACTGTCACCCAGGCTGAAGTGCAGGGGCATGATCTCAGCTCATTGCAACCTCTGCCTCCCAGGTTCGAGTGATTCCTGTGCCTCAGCCTCCTGAGTAGCTGGGACTATAGGCACATGCCACCACACCCGGCTAATTTTTGTATTTTTAGTAGACATGGGGTTTCACTATATTGGCCAGGCTGGTCTTGAACTCCTGGCCTCAAGTGATTTGCCCACCTGGGCCTCCCAAAGTGCTGGGATTACAGGCATGAGCCACTGCACTGGGCCTGTTGTTCACGTTTTTTAAATGCCAACATGTTTGAGGGTTATCATGAGGCACTCTTCTTTTTTTTTTTTTTTTTTTGAGACAGAGTCTCGCTCTATCACCATGCTGCGTGCAATGGTGGGATCTCGGCTCACTGCAACCTCCGCCTCCCGGGTTCAAGCGACTTTCCTGCCTCCACTTCCCGAGTAGCTGGGACTACAGGCATGCACCACCAGGCCGAACTAATTTTTGTATTTTAAGTAGAGACCAGGTTTCACCATGTTGGCCAGGATGGTCTCGATCTCTTGACCTTGTGATCTGCCCATCTCGGCCTCCCAAAGTGCTGGGATTAGAGGCATGAGCCACCATGCTTGCCCATGAGGCACTGTTAAAAAGTGCCTCACTTTTAAAAAATATTGAATTTTCTATTAGACTTTAATCAATTAATTATTATAATTTAATGTGTGTCATTTGATGTTCATGCGTTAGGGCCTCTTTTGAGAATACATTAAGAAGCTCAACTTTAAAGCTAGCATTGACATTCAAAAAGCAATGCGTAACTCACCAAGGTTTTTTATTTTCTAAATTTAAAAAATAACAACAGGGGCCTGTAACACTTGGGCGGTGGGTCCACCCGCCCCTCCCGAGGGAGGGGGAGAGCGGGGTCCCCCTACTCATCATGTTTTATCAGAACTCTTGTGTTTGTCAATGGGATCTTTGGACTTGACCATTGCAGGTTGGTAGATGAAGTGACCAAAGATAGGTCAAGTTTTGGAATGAATGACTTCGAAGCTATACTATTTCTTTGACTCACTCTCCTGTAAATAATGGCACCCACAATAAGAAAGGTCGAGGTCCTGTGAAAAACACAAAAGGAGGTACAGACTCCGTAGGTTTCTTCAGGGAGCTGTACACATAAGAAACAATAGTAGAATGGTATATAACTCAATCTGTATAATGAAGACTGGGTGTGCTGTTATGCACTATTGGGGGCTAGTTAACACGAGGTGCAGAATGCAAAAATTTCACTGAGGAGGTAAAAATTGAATTGGACATGAAACAGTTTAGATAGAGGAAGAAGGGCTCTGAAAATAGAATCTAGTCCATACAGAGGGAAAAAGACCAGCAATAATGCGAAATAGAAATTAGAAAAATAGGCTGGGCATGGTGGCTCACGTCTATAATCCCAACACTTTGGGAGGCCAAGACAGGCAGATCACCTGAGGTCGGCAGTTCGAGATCAGCCTGACCAACATGGAGAAACCCTGTCTCTACTAAAAATACAAAAATGAGCCAGGCATGGTGGCGCATGCCTGTAATCCCAGCTACTTGGGAGGCTGAGGCAGGAGAATCACTTGAACCCAGGAGGCAGAGGTTGCAGTGAGCCAAGATCGCACCACTGCACTCCAGCCTGGGCAACAAGAGTGAAACTTCATCTCAAAAAAAGAAAAAGAAAAAAAGAAATCAGAAAAACAACAACAAAAAAGGTCAGGCAGTGTGGCTCATGCCTATAATCCTGTCACATTGCGAGGCTGAGGTGGAAAGGCTGCTTGAGCCCAGGAGTTTGAGACCAGCCTGGGCAACATAGCAAGATCTGGGCTCTACAAAAAATAAAAGAATTGGGGGATTGCTTGAGTTTAGGAGGTCAAGGCTGCAGTGAGCCATGATCACGCCACTGTGCTACAGCCTGGGTGACAGAATGAGACCCTGACTCAAGAAAAGAAAAAGAAAAGGAAGAAAGGAAGGGAAGAAAGAAATAACCAACTAACTAACTAAATAAATTAGAGTTGTGTTCCAAGAGCCAAAGAGGATGACCCAGTTTATTTGGAATGAAGTCTGTTGGTCAAACTACTGATGGAAAAAGCTCAGGTATTACATTAGGGCTATTACATCTTAAGAGCTCAAGAGTCAAAGAAATAAGAGTGAAGTTGCTAAAGAATATGGTGGGGCATTTCCTACGTGACAAAGATGCCTGATAATTATCACATATAACACTTATTTAGTGATTTATAGTTTACAAAGAAACTTCATATATATTATCTAATTTAATTCCCATAACACTTGAGATATGATATTTATTTTACAGATAAGGATGTTGGGCCAAAGGTGTGAACTGGCTCTGATCACGGGCACATAGTGTGTCTTCTGCTCTACCTACAACTTTTCACAATGAGAGAATATTCCAGGATGCATATTTGAGGATTCTATACATTGCATTATATAAGGAGAAAGAAAAGGTAAGGAGACCATTGTAGAAATCTAAGCATGAGCAAATGAGGTTCTGGACAGTTAGTGGCAGTGAGAACAGAAAGGAAGGAGAACACAGAAAAATTTCAAAGGCATAATCAGCAGGAATTGATAACTAACTGGATTTAGGGAGCCGAGGCAAAGAGAATCAAAGCACAAGGCCTGAGTCGGAGAATGCTGGTGCCATTTGCAGAAGCAGAGAAAGCTCATTGACAATTCAGACTGGCTAATGCATTTGAGTTGGAGTGGAAACTGTTCATGTTGTAGCTCCTGCATCTACAACTCAGTGGGTTCTCATAAACATCTGACCAGTAAATGAACAAATAATAGTTTAAGTAAGGGGAATGGGTCATTCTTCAACCAAGAATGAAGCATTTGCTAAGAACAGAAAGCCAAGGGTCAGGCCTGGGTGAATGCCCTCAGTTGAGAGAGGCCAAAAAAAGAGCAGGAGAGAGGGGGCGATGCAGAGAGGGAAGGAATAGGGTAACAGGAGAATCTGAGACAAAGGCCTGGGTAGGAAAAGTTTATGGTTATTAGACCCATGAAGGAAGCTTTCTTATTGTTTCAGAAAAGGTATATAGTTTTAGGCATTTCTTCATTGCAGCAAAACATTGACTACCAGGTCCTTTTTGCTTTGGATAAAGAGACTCCTCCCCAGTTCATTCACTCTTGCATTATTTCTCATAGGGTCATCCCACAGAACGTCTGACTTAGAATCACCTGGGACATTGCTAAGTCTGTAGATTCCTGGCCCCCATTCCAGATTTCCCGAATCACACTTTGGGGGTACAACCTAAGAATGTAAATCTTTACAAGCTCCTTGGTGGTTTTCATGCACACTAAAATTTTAGAATCAGTACTGTATAATTAAAGATAAAATGAACAACAAGAGAATATGGCTGTAAAGACCAGATATGTAAATTAAAATCCTTAACACATTCCTGGGAACATGCTCAGCATTTATGGAAAAGTGAAAGGCAAAGCAACACTGAACAGAAATAAATTCTGGAAAGGACCCTGAAAAAACTGTTTTGAACAAACAGGTTAATGTATCTCTGGTTTGCAACCAAACCCAGTGACACCAAGTTGGATGGTAACCAGAAAGCGTTATGGACTCTCTATGGTGAGTGATAGTTTAGGGAGGTGAATATTGCTGCTTTGACATTCAGCCTTAAAACAAACATCAGATTTTTTTCAATTCACATGCTTTCTCTTACCTAACAATTTCTTAAACAAGTACAGGAAAAGACAACCTTTTTCTCTATTACTATTTTGACTTTTAGATCATATCCATCACCTGCTCCAACACCTAAATGAAATTTAAAAGTTAGGTTGGTTAGCACGAAGATCAAAATGTCTCACCAATTAACATCATGGATGAAAAAGAGAAAAAGTTATCCAAGCTAACAATGTATCAGTAGTTACTATTTGGTCTTGCATGGATTTTGTCCTTGAAAGACAAGGCTTCAAGCCCAGTTCTGTCTCCTAAAGCAGATTTTATAAGTCTAGAGAGGAGAAAAAAAATTACATATAGTTCAGCTTTAAAGACTTAGAATCCCATCACTATATCTTTCCAGAAAAAATATCTAGGGAAGGTGGGCCGGGCACGGTGGCTCACACCACCATAATCCCAGTACTTTGGGAGGCCGAGGTGGATGGATTAGTTGAGGTCAGGAGTTCGAGACCAGCCTGGTCAACATGGTGAAACCCCATCTCTACTAAAAATAACAAAAATTAGCTGGGCGTGGTGGCACGTGCCTGTAATCCCAGCTACTCAGGAGGCTCAGATAGGAGAATCACTTCAACCTAGGAGGTGGAGGTTGCAGTGAACCAAGACCGCACCACTGCACTCCAGCCTGGGTGACAGAGCAAGACTCTGTCTCCAAAAAAAAAAAAAAAAGAAACGAAGGTGACTTGCAACCTTTCTTGCTAATATGTTGCTTTCTTCAGACTTCTAATCATGATTCTTAATAATAAATACTGTAGTCTAAACTACTTTGGCCCTACTTTAAGTCTAGTTCCTATTGTAATCCCTATAAAAATATATGATAGTTATATCCAAAAATTCCTGTGGTGTTCAGCATATATTTACAGAAAAAGGCTCTTTTGCCCTTCTTTTCAATTCAAATGACTCACTTCCTTTAGCATTTCCTCAAAGACTTGGTTTCTCAGCCAATTAACTCTTTATTGCTTTACTCTCAATTCTACGTTTTTAATTTAAATATGCACAAAATTAAAGGTAGAGAATTAAAACAAATATTTTAATAAACTAGTGTATTAATTATTCTTGATTGCTCATATTGTATGCTGTTTGTTTTCTTTTCATTTAATTTTGTTTTCACTAACACTATGCTATTAATTTGTCATTAGAAATCACAGTTTCTTGCCTCAGTTCCCTCTTTCCCATTCCAGGTGCAGAACTTCTTTCTATTGATGTCTACCAGAAATCAGTGAAATGTAGAACTAAATTCAGAAAGCGAAAAATACTAGGCTGTCTGTGTGGAAACCAGCATCCTGGCACCATGGCACCTATAACACCCAGCACTGGCACCACCTCAGGTCCACTAGCTGGCTGCTAGAAGAGGTTTGTTTTAGGGGTTCAGAAGCATCGCCTCCTCCCTGCTACCTCTCTGGCAGTGGGAGTGGTGAGACCCCATCCCTTCCACACAGACACATCCTGCTTTTCCACCTCCCCTGAGTGTAAGCTGGGAGTGAGAGGGTTACAGATGGACGAGGCAGGGGAAAGGGAGAGCCCAGGGTGATAAGAAAAAAATATGCCTCTGAAAGAAGGTGAGAAAATGATATGGTATGGAGACACCTGCACCAAGACAAGCTCTGAACTAGAGGTGGTTATGAGAAATAACTAGTCTTGAGGGCACATGGGTCCTCCTCCTCCCTCATCAGAGGCTCACTCTGCCCTGAAAAGTCCACCCTGGGTTGAGACCAGAGGAGCAACAAGAACAGGAGAGATGGGAAGGGGATGAAGTCCCCCAAAAGAAAAAGTGAAGAACATCTAAGGGCTGGCAATCAATGGACAATTGCAGGAGGAGGGGCATACATAAGGAGTTCATGTGTGAGGATATGTAAAAAGACAGATATGAGTTAGGATCATCTGTATATGTAACTATGAGCAAAAGCCTCCCAGAGCAGGAACATTGGCCCTCCTGCCCAATTCTCCAATTATACATAAAGCACTTACCATGAATTGAATAAATAATGAATGCTTTTATAAAAAGTATCCTTCTTGGAGGGAGATTCCAGTTGTAGATATGTTTCACTTGTGCAAAATATCCAACATATCTATTCTGAAAAGCAACAGAAGCCTCACTTGAAGTGGAGATGAAAAGTCTAAAGTCAGCGTTCCTATATATATATACACATATATATATATATTTTATTTTGCATAAAGCTTTTTAAGGGAAGTAAGTAATTAAGGAAACATTTAATGGATGACATTATACAACTAGACATTTTATAACTACACATTATATAACTAGCCTCACAACTAATACCTTGGGGGTAAAATACTGAATTAAGTGCTATGGGGAATTAAGAAGGATGGAGCCAGGTCTTGTTTATAGGCTGCTTACAGTTGAGAGGGCAACTAATCAGAACCAACAACAAAACAGTTACAGCATTATCAGTGTACAGATAGAAGCTTGGTTGTGACTGAGTTAGAGGAAGGTTTGTGGTTTGGTGAAGAGCAGCTTGCTGGGCATGAGAGAATGGTATATGTGAAAACTCAAGAGGAATACCTCCATATCTCAGTAGCAGATTTCACGTCATTCTCTTGTTCCTGACAGCTACAACTTCTTCACTTTCCATTTCCCCAATTCTGTTTTCACAAGTAAGCCCTGGAATTCTCTTAGCCTGGTCCTTTCCCTGGGGCAGGCCATTCACAACTGCTCTCCTTGAATCTTTCTTCAAGGTGTTGAAGAGCTCTGGTACTGAATCAACTGGTTCAGAATTCAAAAGTTGGCTGGGTGCTGTGGCTCACGCCTGTAATTCCAATACTTTGGGAGGCTGACATGGGTAGATCACTTGAGGACAGGAGTTTGAGACCAGCCTGGCCAACAGGGTGAGACCCTATCTATACTAAAAATACAAAAAATAGCTATGCGTGGTGATAGGCACCTGTAATCCCAACCACTTGGGAGGCTGAGGCAGGAGAATCGCTTAAACCCAAGAGGTCGAGATTGCAGTGAGCTGAGATTGCACCACTGCACACCAGTCTGGGCGACAGAGCAAGACTCTGTCTCAAAAAAAAAAGAATAAGTTCACAGACTATTCCTTACCCATTGGGAAATGCTCATTAAAGTAACTAACTGACATACTTTCCTTTAGAAAGGGCCAGTCATGAGGAAGGCTCATGAAAGTTCTTAAGAGTAGATGTAAGGCTGGGCACGGTGGCTCACACCTGTAATCCCAGCACTTTGGGAGGCTGAGGCGGGCAGATAACAAGGTCAGGAGATCGAGACCACGGTGAAACCCCGTCTCTACTGAAAATACAAAAAATTAGCCAGGCACAGTGGTGGACGCCTGTAGTCCCAGCTACTCAGGAGGCTGAGGCAAGAGAATGGCGTGAACCCGGGAGGCGGAGCTTACAGTGAGCCGAGATCGCGCCACTGCACTCCAGCCTGGGGGACAGAGCGAGACTCCATGTCAAAAAGAAAAAAAAAAGGGTAGATATAGTCAGTAGAATAGCCCCCAATGCAGGATCAGAATTTGATGGTGTCTGAGAATCACCAGCAGACACAGAGGGTACTCTGTCCTGAGGTCTTGCCAACACAGCTCTCAAACATGCAGCTGAGTCCCTGTGTTGCTTTCTCAGTGATTCAGAAGAGATTCAGTTGCAGCCTTTGGTGTGCTAGTTCTGGACTAAAGTTTGGGAAACTATGCATGACTGCAGAAGAAATGGGGATGGGGAGATGTGTGGCGAGAGGTGTTGAAGGAGCTCCATCTAGCATCCCCTTAGCTCCTGCCACCAGATTCTCCACCTTCCCCTAAAGGCTGTAGCCTACCAGGGCCCTCAAGCTGCTTGTGCTCCCATGCTTCCTTCTCCTAAACTTAAAACAACATGGACGTGTAGTAGAAATTAATACAATCGACACATAGGAGCCACTCACTAACAAACAAAGAAGATATTATGAGAAAAAGGTGGAAAGATGGGTAAGCCATGGACTTTGCCTTTAAAGGCGATACAGAAGTCACCACTTCAAATACCTAGAGAATAATGAAAAGTAATGTAGTCCCTAAGAGAAACACAAAGGGCTTAAAGAATTGAAAAAGCAAGACTACTTCAGGCTGAGAAGGGAAAGAGACTCCAGGAAAAGGGGCATGAGCAATGGCACAAGGGAATCACATGTCCACAGGCTGGGAAACAGCACACAGCCTAAATGTGTTCAAGTGTGGGATGTGTGCATGCACACAGCGGAAGAAAAGGTTGGAAAAGTCAAACTGCGGCTTCTGAGTGCCAGGTTGAAACATTTAGCTTATTGCCATTGGCAGTGGGGACACAGTATGGATTCTGAGCATGGAAGTGGCATGATTAGGGCTGCACTTCAGTAAATTCACCTATTACTTTTAGCTTAGGGTCTATGACTGTCTTTGTTTTGTTTTGTTTTTGGCTGGGGCGTGGGAGAAAAGTATCAGTGGATAAGGCTGAGTTCTTTTGACCCAAACTAAGGGTTTAGGGCCAGTAGTTACAGTGTTCTTCTAATGGGGCCGAGAGTACTTCCTCAGCTCCCACCACTTAAAGAAAAACTCATTTACAGCCACATCCAAATCTATTTAAGAATTCCCAACCCACTCTCACTTCGGTTTTAGGGGCAATACAGAAAAGGCACTATAAATGAGAAGCAGTGCACAGCAATGGCTTCAGGGTCTGACATCTAGATTTCAGTCCTTGGTTCAAAAGTTACTTTCTCTGAACCTCAGTTTTCTAATTTATAAGATGAGAATCATAGTAGTGGCTACTCATAGAGTTACTGAGAATACTAAACGAGCTGGTGAATATGTAACTCTTAGAATAGCTCAGCAAAGTCTAGAATGTTGTAAATGCTATAGGATAAACATCCTGGTTTCTTCAATAAACAAATTACAAGTAATAAAAAATGGTGAGAAATCCATGAACTTAGATTCTTAAAAGAGACTTAGGAGACAGAGCAACCAAATGAAATGTGTGGACCTTGTTTGAATTCTGGTTGAAACAAACTAAATTTTTAAAGATTTTAAGACAATTTTGGAAACAAACATGGACTACAAATTTGATATTAAGGATTTTTAAGGTGTAATATTTTTATATATGATAAAGAGTATTCAGGGTTTTTTTTGTTGTTGTTAAGAGTCCTTAAATGTCATACTGAAATACCTGTGGGATAAAATGATCTGAGGACTGAAATTTCCTTTAAAATAACCCAGGTTTAGGGAAAGCAAGAGTAGAGAGTGGGGTTAGGGGTGTGAGTAGAGTGAGAAAAGAATGGATGAAATGTGGCTGGTTGCAGGCTGAAATGACTTGCAGCAATGTGATGACTATATGGGGATATATTGTATGTTTCTCCGGACTTTTGTATATGATTAAACTTTTCCATAACAAATGTTTTTCTTTTTTCTTTTTTTTTAAAGGAGTTTCACTCTGTCACCCGGGTTGGAGTGCAGTGGCGCTATCTCAGCTCACTGCAACCTCTGCCTCCTGGGTTCAAGGGATTCTCCTGCCTCAGCCTCCTGAGTAGCTGGGATTACAGGCACTCGCCACTACGCCCAGCTAATTTTTGTATTTTCAGTAGAGACAGGGTTTCACCATGTTGGCCAGGATAGTCTCAAACTCCTGACCTCGTGATTCGCCCCACCTCTGCCTCCCAAACTGTTGGGATTACAGGCATGAGCCACTGTGCCCAGCCAACAAATGTTTTCAAAAAATAGAGTAACAGTGTATATTTCACATAGGTGTTATGGGTATTAAATGAGATATGTAAAGGTGCAATACTGTCTGATATATAAAGAGTTTTTGTAAAGTTTATTTCCCCTTTACTTTCTCTTTTAACATACACCTCCCCTACAACACACAGAAAAGACACACACACACACACACACACACACACACAGACACACACACAGACACAGAGGAGTCACCCAAAACAGTCTTTGTGATGTTCTGCAGGGTTGAACTGCCCAAGTAAGGGTTTGTGAAAGACTTGGATCTTTTTTATATTGAAATCAAAGGCTGGTGATTTTAGATAAACTTCAGGGTGCTGGAGCCTTAGGTATTGGACCTTCCTACTTTGGGAAAATAATCACCTCCTGAGCACTGTAAACAATAACCAGTATAGCATAGAATTCAGGATGCTCTGAGGAGAAGCCAGAGCCCCCAGCCTGGGAAGCATGGCCCTCAGCCTCAGGGAGGGACAGAGGCCTGTCACAAGGTGCCCAAATGCTGCTGCCTGATCACCAAAGGAGAAGAGTCTAAAATGAAATCAAATAACAGGTGGCAATCTTAACCCACTGCCCTAAAAACACTCCCCTTTTAAAAAGGAAAACTTACCTGAGAAGGAGTTTCTAATCCCTGAAATTCAGTGCTGTTGGTTTTATCTGTTCGCCTTTCTCCAAAATAACACAGGCTTTCCTACAAAAAAGGGTCTAATCCAACCATGGTTCATCTACACTCTTTCCTTTCATATATTAGGTACCCTTAGTGTTTCTATGGCCACTTTCTTTCCTAAAGTCAGTGATTTTTTTTTTTTTTTTTTTTGGTAGATTCTTGCTCTGTCACCCAGGCTGGAATGCGGTGGTAGGATCTTAGCTCACTACAACCTCAGCCTCCCAGGTTCAAGTGATTTTACTGCCTCAGTCTCCTGAGTAGCTGGGACTACCACCATGCCCAGTTAATTTTTTGTATTTTTAATAGAGATAGAGATTTTGCCGTGTTGGCCAGGCTGCTCTCGAACTTCTGACCTCAAGAGATCCGCCTGCCTCAGCCTCCCAAAGTGCTGTGATTACAGGCATGAGCCACCGTTCCCAGCTGCAGTGATCTTTGGGCAGAGGCTACCCAAAATAACAAATTTAACAAAGCCACATCAAGGACTTATCTCATTCAAGGATTCATAAATTCATAAAATTTTAGAGCTGGAAAGACCTTAGAAATCACTTGGTCCAACCCTTCTTTCCATATTACAAATGAGAACACTGAGACCAAAAGAAAACCAAGCAATCTGCCATGGAGATGCTGCAGCCAGTTAGAGGCAGGTCCCTGGTTCTCACTCTAGGGCTCTGGATCAATGGCTGTCAATGACTTTCAAAACCTTTGTTTTTTAAGCTGCAATCCACATTAATAAACCTAGGAGACACACACACACACACACACACACACACACCCCTCCCTAATACTTAAACCTTTTGATATTTTCCATTCTGCTCTATTTACTTTTATTTTTAAAAGATGTTAGTCACAACCCAGTCACTTTATTTTACAACTCACTGATAAGTCATGATCCATAGCTTAAAAAACACCATCCTAGAACATCCATTTTCTAAATCTGTGTGTCTCAAATTAGAAAAACCAAAGATGGTGGAATTGGAGTGCTGGGCATTGTGCATAACCACCACTTCTTCCCTAGACTGTAGGCCAAACAACTCGAGCGGAGCTGCTGGAATGGTAGCATCTCAGCAAGAAAATGACAGAAAGAAAAATGATTGAGAACTCTACTTTAAGTGGAAACAGCCCACCTTGTCTTATCTGAAATTTCTAGAGGTCAGACTCCACATGTATTGACTAAGCAAAGATATTTACATTCAGGGGATGCTTTGAGTTGCAAAATGTTGCTTTTATCTATCTAAGAGTTGTGAGGATGGCCAAGGCTCTTTGGAGAATTTATCTAATTAAGCCTGATAATATTCTCACCAGGAAGGAAGAAGTCATGGTGAGAGACACGACTAGCTGGATTTCCTAAGTTGACTAAGAATTCCTAAGCGTAGCTGGGGAAGGTGACAGCGCCCACCTTTAAACATGGGGCTGGTAACTCAGCTCACATCCAACCCATCAGGTAGCAAAGGGAGCTCACTAAAATACCAATTAGACTAAAAGCAGGAGGTAAAGAAATAGTCAATCATCTATCCCCTGAGAGCACAGCGGGAGGGACAATGATCGGGCTATAAACCAGGCATTCGAGCCAGCAGTGGCAACCCCCTTTGGGTCCCCTCCCATTGTATGGGAGCTCTGTTTTCACTCTATTAAATCTTGCAACTGCACACTCTTCTGGTTCGTGTTTGTTCCGGCTTGAGCTGAGCTTTCACTCACCATCTACCACTGCTGATCGCCCTGGTCCCCGACCCATTGCTGACTTCCACCCCTCTGGATCTGGCAGGGTGTCCTCTGCACTTCTGATCCATCCAGGCGCCCATTGCTGCTCCTGATTGGGCTAGAGGCTCGCCATTGTTCCCGCGCGGCTAAGTGCCCGGGTTCGTCCTAATCGAGCTGAACACTAGTCACTGGGTTCCATGGTTCTCTGTGACCCACAGATTCTATAGCTATAACACTCACTGCATAGCCCAAGGTCCCATTACTTGGAATCCGTGAGGCCAAGAACCCCCAGGTCAGAGAACAAAAGGCTTGCTGCCATCTTGGGAGTGGCCCGCCACCATCTTGGGAGCTCTAAGAACAAAGACCCACTGGTAACAATGGTACTAGCAGGAGTAAGAGCAGGGCCAGGTGAGGTGAGGGAAGCACTATGATTACTGAATGTTTTTGTATCTGTGTAACATGGCTTTACTCCCTTCACCTTAATCCGGCCCCATCAGGTCTTGTCTTTATTTAAAATGTTGATATTATATACATCACAGATTTTAGCATTAATTTTTATTGTTAAAATATTGCATTAAAAATTATTTATTTTAATGCAATTTTTAGCATTCCCTTAAATTTTGCACTTCATTGACCTTACTCTAGTCTTGGCCCAAAGAGATCCTTAAGTCAGCTACTAACTACTGCATGTTAAATAAGAAAGTATCAAAAACAGGCTTTCTAAAAACTGCTTCTCCAATTAGTTTCACTGAGCACCATGACTAAATCATCTTAACATCCTACCAGTGATGTTTCAGAACCAGCAAACTCAGTCATCATAAGACAAAGTTTGTAGTAACATCTTTCATACCTTTGCAGTTAAAAATAGTTCAGAGGCAATAAGGAAGGCACAAACCACAGTTCCAGTTCTTCCTAGAAAAGAAGTTAGTTCAAGGAACATACGTGGTATAAAAACACACTCAAAAATATTCAAGGAGTTCATTTTAAATTGATTTTCTTCCTTTTTTTGAGACAGAGTCTTGCTGTGTCACCCAGGCCGAAGTGCAGTGGCACAATCTTGGTTCACTGCAACCTCCACCTCACAGGTTAAAAATACGCAAATTACATTTACAGTAAAAATATTTCTCACCACCTCTCTACAAAAGGACACGATGAAGTTTTTACTAAATCTATAAGAAAGCAATAATTCATGTGTTTATAAATGTTTTTGGATAATAGTAAAAAAGAAAAATTCCTTTAGTCAACTCGTTTAGTACACTAATATAACTGATTCCAAACTTGCACAAATATAGAAGAAGAAAAGATAACTTTATACCAGTCTATACACATGAATGTAGATTTTAAAATATACATATTTTCAAAATGAATTCAGCAATGTAGAAACACCATGTATCAACACCAAGTGCCATTTCTCTTAAGAATGCAAGGATTTTTTTTCCAAGATGGCAGATTACAGGCTTTTAGCATGCCTCAGTCATTTGGAAATAGCAAGCTAGTACATAAAGATAAACTCTGTGAACTTTAATTCAAGAAAGAAAATGGCAAGTCCCTGGAATTATGAAGGACACCCCAGATCCTGGGGAGGACAATGCAGCCCAAACAGCCCTCATTACAGCATTCGACTGATAAAAGAGAGTGAAGCCTCAGTATGTGAGAGAGGCAGACAACATCCTTCTGTCTTACCTTTCCACTGGGGATTCAAGCAACCCGGGGATTCAAGCAACCTGGCGCTTCACCCAAGCCCTGGAACTAATTTGAGGAGAGAGTTGGAGACTTTGTGAGGGAAAGACACACGGAAAAGCTGCAGGCATTTTCCCAAATCTGAACTGAAAGCAGGACAACATTGGGGGACTTTCCCCATCTGGCTCCACCCATGTTGTACCCCCAACGCCCCTACCCCTAAGGCTGAGGAGGGAGCTCAGATTAATGTATACTCTGGGAATCAGCCCATTGACTGAGGCAACAGAAAGCTCCTCTCCATAAACAAGGATCAAGCATATAGCCAGCAGTACTGGCCACAGCCAGCTCTTACCCATGGTGCCATCTACTGGCTTGTAGGTCAAACCACACACCCAATATAAAACTTCGTGCATAGGGCTACAGAAGTAAAGCCAAAACATGCCATCTAGCATGCTCTATAGTCACACCCCCTAGGGAGGAGGGAAAGGGAAAGAAGAAGAAAGAAGAAAGAAGGAGAAGAAGGAAGAGGAGGAGGAGGAAGAAGAAGAGGAAGAGGAAGAGGAAGAAGAAGAAGAAGAAGAAGAAGAAGAAGAAGAAGAAGAAGAAGAAGAAGAAGAAGAAGAAATATAATAATAATATCATCATAGGAAAGGAAAGAAAAAAATTATACTCAAAGAAAAATAATTACAAAAACTAGAAGTGCTAGCATCTCCAGATGAGAACGACGAGTGCAAGAATTCTGGCACCATGAGAAATCTGAATGTAGTGACACCACCAAAGGATCACACTAGCTCTCTGGCAATGCTTTCTACCAAAATGAAAACTCAGAAATGACAAAGAATTCAAAGCATGGGTTGCAAGAAAGCGCAATGAGATTCAAGGTTTAAATCAACAAAAAGAAACTTCTAAATCAACCCAGGAAATGAAGGAAGAGATAAACATCTTAATAAGAAATTAATCAGAACTTCTGGAATTAAAAAAACTCACTTAAGGAATTTCAAAATACAATTGAAAGCTTTTATCAATAGACTGGACCAAGTAGAAAACATAATTTCAGAGCTTGAAAACTGATCTATTGAACTAATGCAGTCAGACAAAAATAAAGAAAAAGATTTTTTAAAAGTGAAGAAAGGCTTTCAGAGATATGAGATTATGTAAAGTGATCAAACCTACAAATTACTGGCACTCTGTAGAGAAAAGGAGAAAAAGAAAACAACCTGGAAAACATATTTGATGGAATAATTCAAGAAAATTTATTGACTCTTGCTAGAAAGGTAGACATCTAGGTACAATAAAGCCAGAGAGCACCTGCAAGATACTATAAAAAAATGAACATTACCAAGGCATATACTCACCAGACTGTCCAAGGTCACCATTAAAGAAAAAATCCTAAAAGGCACTAGAGAAAAAGGCCAGTTCACATACAAAGGGAGCCCCATCAGGATAAGAGCAGACTTCTCAGCAGAAACCTTACAAGCCAGGAGAGATTGGGGGGTCTATTTTCAGAATTCTTAAAGAAAATAAATTATAATCAAAAGATTCATATCCTTCCAAACTAGCTTCAGGAGTGAAGGAGAAAAAAAAACAAAAACATTTTTCCAGAGAAGCAAGTGCCAAGAGAATTCATTACCACTAGACCACTCTTACAAGAGATGCCTAAGGGAGTTCTAAACATGGAAATGAAGGAATGATACCTGCTATATAACATACTTAAGTACATAGCACACAGACCCTATAAAACAACCACACAATAGAAAGTACAAAATACCAGCTAACAATTTCACGATAGGGTGAAAAGCTCACAGGTCAATATTAGCCTTGAATGGCAAATGGTTTAAAGACACCACTTAAAAGTCACAGAGTGGCAAGTTGGATTACAAAAACAAAAAAAAATAAAAAACAAAACCCATCTGTCTGCTGTCTTCAAGAGACCCATTTCACATGTAACAACACCATTACATTCAAAGTAAAGGGTTGAAGAAAGATCTATCACACAAACAAAACACAAAAAAGAGCAGGGGTCACTATTCCTAAAACCGATAAAACAGGCTTTAAGCCAACAATAGTAAAAAAGGACAAAAAAGGGCATTACATAATGATAAGGAATTCAATTCAACAAGAAGCCTTAACTATCCTAAATATATATGCACCCAACATTGGCTCACCCAGGTTAATAAAACAGACACTTCTAGACCTGTGAAAACACTTAGCCACACAACAATAGTTAGGAAACTTCAACACCTACTGATAACATTACACAGATCATTAAGGCAGAAAACTAAAAAAGAAATTAACTTTGGACTTAAATTCAATACTTGACCAATTGTACCTAATAGAAACCTAAAGAACACTCCACCCATCAACCACAGAATATACATTCTTCTCATTTGCATACCAAACGTATTTCAAGATCAACCACATGTTCCACCATGAAACAGGACTCAATAAATTAAAAAAAAAAAAATTGAAATCATACCGATCATTCTTTTGGACCACAGTTGAATAAAAATAGAAACCAATACCAAGAAGATCTCTAAAAACCACACAATTACATGGAAATTAAACAACTTGCTCCTGAATGACTTTTGGGTAAACAATAAAATTAAGGCAGAAATAAAAAAATTCTTTGAGGAAGTTGGTTCTAAGATGGCCGAACAGGAACAGCTCCACTCTGCAGCTCCCAGCGTGACTGATACAGCAGACAGGTGAATTCTGCATTTCCAACTGAGGTACCTGGTTCATCTCACTAGGACTTGTCAGACAGTGAGTGCAGCCCACAGAGGGTGAGCCGAAACAGGGTTGGACATCACCTCACCTGGAAAGCACAAGGGGTCGGGGGATTTCCCTTTCCTAGCCAAGGGAAGCCGTGACAGACTGTACTGGGAAAATCGGGACACTGCCACCTAAATACTGCTTGCACTTTTCCAGTGGTTTTAGCAAACGGCACACCAGAAGATTATATCCCGCGTCTAGCTCAGCAGGTCCCATGCCCATGGAGACTTGCTCACTGCTAGCGCAGCAGTCTGAGATTGAACTGTGAGGCAGTATGCCTGGCTGAGGGAGGGGCGTCCACCATTGCTAAGGATTGAGTAGGTAAACAAAGCAGGTGGGAAACTCGAACTGGGTGGAACCCACCGCAGCTCAAGGAGGACCACCTGCCTCTGTAGACTTGACCTCTGGGGGAAGGGCATAGCTGAACAAAAGGCAGCAGAAGCTTCTGCAGACTTAAATGTCCCTATCTGACAGCTCTGAAGACAGCAGTGGTTCTCTCAGAATAGTGTTTGAGCTCTAAGAATGAACAGACTGCCTCCTCAAGTGGGTCCCTGACCCCTGTGTAGCCTAATTTGGAGACAACTCCCAGTAGGGGCGAACTGACACCTCATACAGCTGGGTGCCCCTCCAAGATGAAGCTTCCAGAGGAAGGATGAGGCAGCAATATTTGCTGTTCTGCAATATTTGCTGTTCTGCAGCCTCCACTGGTGATACCCAGGCAAACAGGGTCTGGAGTGGACCTCCAGCAAACTCCAACAGACCTGCAGCTGAGGGACCTGACTGTTAGGAGGAAAACTAACAAACAGAAAGGAATAGCATCAATATCAACAAAAAGGGCATCCACACCAAAACCCCATCTGTAGGTCACCATCATCAAAGACCAAAGGTAGCTAAAACCACAAAGATGAGGAGAATCCAGAGCAGAAAAGCTGAAAATTCTAAAAACCAGAGCACTCCTTCTCCTCCAAAGGATTGCAGCTCCTCACCAGCAACGGAACAAAGCTGGACGGAAAATGACTTTGATGAATTGACAGAAGTAGGCTTCAGAACGTTGGTAATAACAAAGTTCTCCAAAGTAAAGGAAGATGTTCACACCCATCACAAGGAAGCTAAAAACCTTAAAAAAAGATTAGATGAATGGCTAACTAGAATAAACAGTGTAGAGAAGACCTTAAATGACCTGATGGAGCTGAAAACCATGGCGCGAGAACTATGTGACGCATGCACAAGCTTCAGCAGCCAATTCGATCAAGTGGAAGAAAGGGTATCAGTGATTGAAGATCAAATGAATGAAGAGAAGTTTAGAGAAAAAAAGAGTAAAAAGAAATGAACAAAGCCTCCAAGAAATATGGGACTATGTGAAAAGACAAAATCTACGTTTGATTGGTGTACCTGAAAGTGAAAGGGAGAATGGAACCAAGTAAGCAAACACTTCAGGATATTATCCAGGAGAACTTCCC